AACCATCTGGGCCTCTTCATCACAATATGCAGGGCTGAACATTAGATGAGTCTCATCTAAGAAAGTGTTGGGTACATTAAAATATACCGTCAAGAACTTGAGGCCTCTGCTTCTCTGTGCCTTTTAGTTATTCCATTCATCCCTTTACCGTACATCTAGATGTCATGGTCATTGTTACTTAGAGGCATTGACTAGGTATTTATTTCCAATGCAGGCTTGTGTCACTGTCTTCCCTGGAATTTCTTGGAGAAGAGGATGTGTATTATTTGTGCTTGTAGCAATCTCTAGCTAGGGGTCTGTCTCTTATTGCAGTCCTGAGCATGCAAGCTTTTTCTATTATTCCAGTATTGCCTTTTTCCTGAAGTGTCCCATGAGGTTTGCTCTAGTATCAGTCATGGTAGCTATGTTCTCTCGTTCTTGTTCATCTATTGTTTTTAGCACTAGTTTCTGTAGTCATAAGGTGTCCATTTTATATCTTTGAGTTGTTATGCCACACCATCATGGTTTTTCCATTGGCTGACTGCTGCTGTAATTCCCTATGGGGCTTTGTAGGTAATCGAGCTCGAGGGTCTCAGGCTGCTTTCACAGTGGACCCCTTCTCCTCATGGCTTCATCCATTGGGCAGTCTCAGTTGCTGTGTGGTACAATGTCCTGTCTTTTTGAGCTTCCTGGGTTTTTCATGTTTTATGGGTTTTGGTTAGAATTTTTTTGCAGGATTTCTTTTGTTTATTCCTGCAGGTAAAGTCAGGTCTTCTTTTGACATCCAGGTCCCTCTTCCCTCTTTTATTTTGCCAGATATACTCACCAGTGTTTTCCCATGATGGGAGCAGCAGAGGGGAGGGGAGCACTGGGGCATCTGGGGAGGTAGTATTGGGCTTACTCCTGTCTTTGCAGGGCTGACCCTCAGGAAATGTGGTACATGGGTCAATAGTATGAATATATATCATGTGGGTGCACTAATTCCTTTCAGGGTGTGTCAGAGGGTAAAGATTTTGTTCTGCTTGGTGTAATGTTGTTCTGTTTTGTGTATTTATGAAGATGTGAGTTTTGTGTAGGAAGAAGCCAGCTATCTGACTGGTTTGGGGATAAGGTGGGGTATACGTGTTTTTAGGTCATTATTTGCTGGATGTTTTGAACTAACTGTATCTGACTTCCTAGTGACTCACAAAGGGATTTGGTACAGCTCTGTCTATATGACAATGGTCATGCAGTGTTGTAATTTCTAATTCTGTAGCCACTTAGACCCATTTAATCCTCGGAGCTGATATTCCTAAATTGGGGGCAATTACCTTGCTGTCTTAGAGGCCTGAAAAAACAAGGAAATAAATGGGTTCTTATGTCTTATCAAATGCCTGTGTTCATTGTTAATTCTCCCCATTTTCTGTTGTCAGGTGTTTGCACATCTCTCTACCGTGGCTAGTTACACTATGTGAACATAGCATTAGAGGATGATTGGAATTGCTGAGTGTGATTAAAAGATCATGTCTGAATTATAGCAAAAATCTAACAGGCCACCCATAGTAAAGCTGAGGAATTTTTCGTATGTCAGTTAAAATACATATTTTTGTCTCATTGTCACAGATGGAATGAACAAGACAGCACATTAAATCCAGACAGCTGCAAAAAGTCCATCAGGTGGCTCTGGATCTCAGCAGTATCATGAACAGAGTTTTAAATCAGACATATTTTTCATACCCCAGGCTCCTAGTTCCGATTAGCTGTATTGGAAAGAATGCCATTTTTCTGGTGCAGCTATTATTTTTTATGTTCATGAAATTACACTTAGAACATTATTTATACACGTTGCTCTTAATAACTGGCAAACTTCTTCTGCTCTATTGATAGAGCTTAATATTTAAAACAGACTGCACAGATGTGCTGTTTTTATCTTGATGTTACTAACCCAGAAGAAACGTTGAATGTTAAGCCTACTAACCTTTTCCTGGCAGTCACAAACCCCTAATCTAGAGATCGTGAAGCCCGTGTGGCAAAAAACCTGCCATCTGCTGGCCAGGGAGCAAAGTACTTGTTAAGCACTGTGGTGCACTGGAGAAAGCGCTCCAGCATGACTCTAGCTATAGGAGAAACTGGTATTTTGCAGAGCTCTTCAGCAGCATATCTGAAACAGGCCTGGTCAGTACTTTTCTGACAGCATATATTTCCATCAGAAAGTGCTGTTTTGTTATAATTAAATCTTTCTGTGGGAATATGTCAATGAGAAATTGGAATGTTCTGTTCTAAAAATATCAGAATGCTGTTTGAAAATTTTAAGGCTGGAACACTTTGATTTTTATTCTAGGATGACTTTTTAAAAAATATTTGTATACATTATAAAAACAAGACAAAACAAATTTTTGTCTTTGTATTAAATATTAATGAAACCACACACCATCACTATTGCATGTGGTAAATTCAAGGCAGTCAAGAATCTAGGAGTCTTGGCTTCTATTACCCTGCTCTGACCACTCAGTCTGTCTCACTACTTGTGGTCATATACATATGCTCAGTAGGGAGAACATGTCAAGAGTGTGACTATCTCTTCATTCATATGAGGGACATCTTTGCATCTTTTTCTTTTATTGTGATTTTGCATGGGTGAACTAAGTTGCTACAGTAATTTAAAGGCAAACTCTTTTGAGCTTATACTCCTTTTAATAATACATCATACATAGAGTTCCCACTTATAGTCAAAATCATACCAGTCTATATTCAGAAAAAAGAAAAGAAGCAAACAACTGAACACTCAAGGCTCCCTTTTGCCTAACTTTGTAAGCTTAGTACTTGTCATGTGCTAAAAAAAAGATAGACTTTGTATTTTTTCCTGCAAGGAAAGGGATGAAAGAGAAAAATGTAGGATTTGATTAGTGATAGGCCCAGGAGTTATTTTTATATCTTTCCTTAAAATGAGGCTCCAGCTAAGCTGTATGACTTCTCAAAGATTGGTAACTTTGTTTTAAGAAAGTACAGTGGTTCTGATTATGTATCACCAGTCATGATAGATCATTATCATCTATCTTATGTATGCCTATATGGCAGCCAGTTACACAGTGCTAAAAAAATGTTTAGATGCACATAACCAGGCTGAATTTATACTCACACAATCAGTTTTTAATTTGGGACTTCAAGGCTTTTGAAATATCATTTTAATGCAGTTTTTAATGAAATTAGAAAAAAAAATGAAGAAAAAGAAATTGCATGTGCAAAATCATAGCGATTCTCCCTCAACATGGATTTTCAGAAGGTCTGAGTTCTTTTGCTCCTAGTGCAGTTATCTGCCTTGTGAGCTGGGGGAGTAACTGAACAGAAGGTTGTTTATCCCTGTAGGAACCAGGCACTGGAGAGGGGAAGGGAATGTTTAGGTTCAGGAAGTATGAGTTCAGTTCTGTGATTTGTAGGGGACTGTCCTGTCATTACTGGGGAGACCCTCCTGCACAGGTCTTCTGCTTTTTAGTTTTGCTCTTACCTCCCCTCTCCAGTTCCTGTCCTTTGCTCCTTGGCCATGCTATCTTCACCCACTTCTCCATCCCATTCACTCTGTTTCTCTTTTTGCCACTAAGTTGCTGTTTTCTTTTGTTCATTCCACCCTGCCTCTGTCCTTTCCACTTCTGTGTCTTCTGACCTTTCCTTGTAGCTATCTTCTCTTTCAGGTTCCTCCTGGACCTTTTCTGCCAAGACTTCCTGAACCAGTTGATCCATCTGTTTCATATTCTCTAAGTAGTCTTAATCTATCTAGTTCTTCCTCATGAGTGAGGTGGTGGCAATAGAACAGTACACAAAAGAAGGACACATTCCCAGCTGTTGAGTAATAGTCTTGATGCCACAGCAATTCCAGCAGTTGGGATGAACAATTTCAGAGAATATCCTTTCTGCCTCTGCAGCTGTGTTGGAGGATACTTATACTGTGGTTTAAAGCAATGTGGTCTTTTACAACAAGATTGGTGAAGTGTTACCGTTTGTAGCACCTTACCCTTTCAGTAACCTTTTAGAGGACCAAGTAGTGGTTCAAACTGGTGAACTGATGTGGCATTAAAGTATTTATTTGTTGCTGGGTGTTTTTTCAGCTGAGTAAGTTATTGGATCAATACAGAGGGGAAACATATTCTAATTTGGCAGAAATATTTGGTGCTTTTTGGCTAATGTATCCCATCGAGATACCAACCTTTGGGAGATACCCAGAATAGAAAATTCGGTCTAGTCTCTTAACAATGGACAACCTAATAATGGAATAAGGCATCAAATTTTAGGTAACTCACATGTTTTACAACTTTGCCATCTGATCTGTAATATCTGTGTGCCTCTGCTGTATGAAAATCTGTCAATCATAGTGTGTCTACTGTGTAGTTAACATAATATGCATAGGGAATAATAAAGCTGCTTTATTTAAGATTCTCTCAGCTGTCCCTGTTATCTCATTTAACAGAACAACCTGCTAGTGATAGACTGGTGGTAATATGAATTTGTTTCAAGAAATTGATAGGTAAACTAGGTTTGTTTATTTTATTTTGTTCTTGAAAAGATTCACTCCAGTAAATTAGAGAATTATTTCAGATATCCAAGAAAGGCATCCTTTCTCTATTGGCTTGCCTTTGTCTTACCTATATTTGGTTGAGATTCTTCATGTAATTGGCAAAATTCTTTGTGGCGTTGTTTTAAACATAATACAGTGAGATTTGATGCAGTTATTCACTTTATGTATAGCAACTTGAGGCGGGTGAGATAGTTTTAACTTCTGCAGCAGAAAGTTATTGACTTGCCTGGTCCCTTTGCTAGACTTGTTCTGAGTCATAGGTGCCATTGCCTGATTTACAGCTTTCCAAATATATGCAAATACAAAGTATTGCCATATGGTCTTAGGTTTCCAGAAGTGCTCATGATCTAATTGAGTATCTTAGCTAACAGAATGGGAGCCTTTGCCTCTTCACATTTTATGGATTTCAAAAGGCAGTATTTTTCTTATTTTTCTATGTATAATTTCTAAAAAGGATCCTACAATGCTTGAATTATGGTAAAGCATCTGAGAGACTAAGGCTTTTCTCTTCACTTTGGGGAGGTGTTGAGTTTTCTGTTGCTGGACTGATGTTTTCTACTGCAGAAGGCAAGAGATCCTCATTTGTGAATTCTCTGGGAAAGCTAGGAGCTGGAAGGTCTATAATTTGTTTCCATGGTTTTCCAGGACATCCGGGGAGAGGAGACTCTGGGTGATCTGGAAATGCATTAAATAAAGAAGAACCAGGAAGAATTAGTGGTTCTGCAGGTGTACTGGTTTCTTTTGTTTCAACCCCTGGATTAACTAGCTCTGCTGTTTCAGCACTAGATGATGGGAGGCTTTCATTTTGACTAAAAACCCTTTCATTGGACTCCTCAGAAGATTTGGGGTTTGCATATTTATTTACCATATTTACTGTGGGTTTTATGCCCACACCCATGGCCCACAACAAATTTCATGAGTCTGACCAAAGGCATTGGCATGATCCTTTCTATATCCATGCCCGTGTTTATGCCCATGTTTATGCCTGTGGTTATGCTCAGGTTCACCTTCACTTTCTGGTTCCTGTCCACCATCTCTCCCTGTTTCTTTGCCGGGTCTTTGACTGTCGTCTTCATTTTTATCAGAGTGTGAACCTTCACTTGGCTGTTCTAGCGTAATAAAGCTTCGGAAAGGTGTGAATCCAGCAGGTCGTCTTACAAGTACAGTCTAAAAAAAAATTGAAATAATAGCTGTATTTGTTACATGAACAAGAACAATAACTTCAGATGTGGGAAATCCAGAAGTTGGCTCATTGCAGTACAAGAGTAATTTAGGAAAAATGTTATCAGATTTTTAAAGTAAACTAAATAATTGTCTCTATCTGTGATAAGCATGGAAACATAAACATCTTCCTAAATAACTGCAGAGTATTTTAGCAGTTATGTTAAAATAACAATTTATATATCACTGAAATTCTGCCAGTTTAACATGGGAATGATACTATAGAGAAGAAAATGTGTACTGGTTTTAATTTATGAACAATACAGTTGATTTCTAGGACTAAATGTCCCTGCATTTGTCAGAGCATAACACTCCAATGTATAAAACCAATATATTCTAAAGGCTAGCACATCTCTGGCTAGTCTCAATATCAGAATATACAAAAGATCTGGGTCATCTTGTTGTATGAAAAGCAACTATTCAATTTTTGTTTGTAGATTTGACATGCATTTCAAGCTGATAATATGAAACATTCAGTAGCTACTGAATAAACTGTTTCCCCATCACTGTTCAACTCTAAGACAAAGACTGAGTGCATGGTGTACAGTTGCTATCCAACATGGGTTTCGCTTCTGTCCACCAAAGTGCCTGATCATTATGTAGCTGCAAACCAGAGTTGTTTGAGATGCAGCTAAATTTGGAAGTTGATGTGGGTACAATATTGTAGTGAAAATAAAGAGGAGAGACACTTATTGCTTGATACATAATGAATGAATAAATAGTTATGAAGGTGCTGAGCACAGTGTGGTTATTGATTATGAATGCAAGTTAATAAATCTTGCTTTATTCAGTGTATCTTCTCCTCTTCCTTGGGGAGCATGGGAGTCCCTGCATTTACTAAAAAACCTGCAATCATCAGAACTGAAGTTCTGGTAGTAAAAAAAAATTTATATTCCATTCTGAAATTTTCAAGCTGACCCATGTTCAGGGCTGGTTAATCTTGGAGCTGGGCAGGAAGGAAACTGAAAGGTCTTCCTCCAGAGATTGACAGCTTGTGGCAGGAGATCTGCTGCTCTACTAGTATGAAAAGATTTGCAGATGTTTTTGAAATCTGTGGGGCATAATTATCATGTTGCCAAATACATTTTTTTGTCTCAGTTTTTAAACCTTGTATGGATAGTAATTCAAAGGAGCTGATGGGGCTTGATACTTCAGAGCATAACTGATAATGCAAAGCAGTAGTCGGCAGGCAGAATGTTCTCTGTCCTGTTGCCTTTGTGTTTCTGTAATCACTGTGGTGTCCACTGTCTCACCTTGTGGTTCAACTGGTTTTGATATAACAAGTTGTTGAGGTTAGAGGGTGAGAGGGAGGAGTGCAGCATTACTGAGGTCTTTAAAAGAACTATATGTTCCTTTATTTTTAGTACAAAATGTGGGATAATTTGGAATGGATAAAGAATTTAATGATTGCTTTTGCTCTACTTATGTTGATGGGTAGTGAAGAGGAATCATACCACTGGCCTTTCTTCAAAGCATTTAACCTGGGAAAAGGTTTCATTCTCCCATGCTCTCATGTAAAATTGTGCTTCACAATGCAATGGTGCCTGTTGACAAAACAAAAATCAACACGTTAAGGCAACAAAACATCAGACGCAAAGGAAGAGTTGTGCATGAAAAATTACGATTTTTTTTAATAATACTTTAAAATAAAAATATACTTGGAACTTTATGCAGATACCTATGAAATCCATCTTAGCAATAGAGACTTCTGTATTGGGACACATCACTGTTTAGCTTTTTGAGGTTATAGTATGTATGTATGAACACTTGAATTCAATTTTGGATTGGAGACTAGATCTTGAAAAATTGGGATTTTTCATCTCCAGCACTTTTGGAGCACTAACTATTTCATCTTCTTGATATTCCTAAGAAATATTGTTGTTTGGTATTTCTCCTATTAAAAATTGGGAAACTGAGAAAGGCATTTTTTTATCTATTCAGTGCTTGCTGCACTAACAGATTTTAAAATCTCATAGGTAAGCACTGTTCACATGGTGGGAAAAGAGAGGGGAAATAAAGCCTCTCTTTCCCAACCAACTCTCTTGTTAATGGTTTCTGGCCCTATCAATCAACATTACTTTCCAGTGCCTGGAACACATTTTCCCAGTATCAGCAGCATGCACTCCAGAAACATCATTCCTTTTCATGCCAGTAACATTCCAGTCTCATGTTTTCTTTAGCTGCAAGTCCACAGAGTCAGGAGTATTGCAGCTATTTCATTTCGCAGCAGCCTCTTCCCTTCCTCCTTTGATTCTTTATTATCAGAAGAAAGTTCTTTTTGCTTTGCAGTGAGTGCTGATCCTGCACTTGGAGTGACTCAGTTGAAGCTTTGTGTTTTACTAATGTTGTCATGGGCTTGGGTTACAAACAGTGAAAGGTGTCCTTCTTATTGAAAGAAAAGTTTACTGAAAGAGGTAACAGAGCTCAGGAGGTGATTTTACTTAAGTGTTTACAATTTCTGGTGCAGAGGAATTTGTTAGTAATGTTACAGTTGGCAACATCATCTTGTACTTACAGTGTCTGATGCAGCTTCACAGTTGTCTTCAAGTTTTTTGAACTCTTTCTTTGAGCAGTTTGTCTTCAAGACTGTAAATGTTAAACGGTAGATTACTCCTGCAACCACCTGAAAAATTAGCAAGAAGGCTTCTGTTGGTAAAGGCCTTTTATTGAAAAGGGTTCACATGAAAGATGTTTTTCTATAAGCTTATACTACTTATATTCTACAAGTCCTGACCACTGGGACAACACATGCTAAGTACTAAAATATTTGGCAGCCAACCTATCTGCTTTTAATCAACTTATTTACTCCAGTTCCCATTCTCAAAAATTCCAGCATTGCAATTCAAGGAAACAGAAAGGTCAGAATAATATCAGGCTCACAGTTTTGGCTTTGTTTTCTTGGATGCCTGTAGTAATTTCATTAATAACAAATGAAATAGAGATACTGCTGTAGAGAGCCAAATATGATGTAAGAAAAGTAGAATGTGAGTAAAATGAAGGCTCAGTTGAAAACGAACATATTTGACAAATGCATTAAGGAGAAAAACTGCATGGGTACAAGAATGGGCTGGGTACAAGTTCTCTTAGTATTTTTTACACAGCTCAAGATAATATATCTTGCTTCAGAGACAGCAGGCAAAGCATGCAATTCTGTCTCTCAAGTCTATTAAAAATGTCTGCATGCTAACATCAATCATGATATGAAAACTGAGAAGGAAGAAAAAAGCTTGAAAGAAGAAAAAAGGTTTAAAAAGAAAAAGCACTGATATTAGTAAGATCACATGAGCTATTCAGAAAAACTCTGATGTGCTTTTAGTGCCTTCTCCAGTGGTACCCTTCCTGCTCAGAAGGTGTTGACAAAGTATTTTCTGAACTACTCTACTGTCTTATTTTCAGTTCTGTCCTAAACCTCTGTTTTGATATGTCAGGACAGTAAAGAAGGCAAATGCTGACCAATATTATCCTCTTGATTCCTTGTTCTTCTTTAACCAGCTGTATTTATCTGTATATCTTAAGTTATACACAGATATTCTCTTCTGACTCTAGATGCAGTATTATTAGCAGCAGAATCAGTATATAAATTAACAGATTTCTAAGGGAAGCGGGGAAGCCCCATTTCTTGGAGTTTACAGCTACTGCAGGGCAGAGAGTGCCTAAAATAACAGAGAATTGGTGTGGTAGATCAAGGGGGTAGCTTTGTCTAATAAGTCTTATCTACTTTAAAAGTCTAAGGTATGTTACAAAGGCTGGTAAAAAGTGGGGTTAGATATACAGAAATCAGATACCTTAAGTCAACCTTCTTCCCATACTTTTAAAATTGTTTTAAGAAAAATAAAGTTGAGAGATGGGAGATTCTTAAACCACTTCGAGTGCAAGCCAAGATGGATAAAATTTTGCAAGAAAAATTGCATGGATATTTCAGTTACTACATGTATCAACACTTAGAAAAACATTATTTCAAATCTAAATACAAACTTCAGCTAACATTCAGCTCAGACCAATAACACTGCCATGTCTGTTCCTCATCTCTGGTGTATCCCAACCTGAGATGTTGCTGCTTCTATTTCTCCAGCTTTGTAGTAATAATCATCATCATTCTCTGCATTATACTTCTCTACAGAAATTTTCAGTAGGTTCTTCAGTTCTGAACTGTCTTTTGGGATTGAGATTGGACAACCAGCGCAGAAGTCACGAGTGTCTTCAGCTGAAAGAAACCAACAGATCTCAGATCTAAGGTAAAAGAAGATCCAAACTAGGTACAGGCTGGGAAGAACTGTTATAAACCCCAGCCTTCTGGAATGCTTTGTATTTTGGTCTATCAAATGAAACCAAAATATCTTTGAGTTATATATGATCAGCATTATCATACCTTGGCTATCTAAAAGAGCATTGCATCAGCACCGAGTGTCACATTGCATGCCTGACAACAGTCTTCTCGTAGAAACAAGAATTGTGTTTACCAATTGCAGGTAGCTAGCAAATACAGGGAACATTTATATGTATGGAAAGATCTGAATCAGGTGAAACAAGGGGTGCATGTTACTGGCAATGAATGAGTGTGGTGAAGAGCATCACTATGATTTCTTGAGGAAAACAAAGTTGAATGGGTGAGAATGCAGCACTCTACTACATGGAGTAGCACTGTACTTCCTGTTCTGAAGATTTGGAGCTGTGATAATCTGTGTCCAAATAGATGGCTGGTGGAAAAAGTAACAATAAGAAAACTATTTGGGAGTTTTATTAATGAACTTAGAATTTATAAGTAATTTGTTTACTAGGGAAAATAAAGCATCTAACATATCAAATATAAGTATAGCTATACAATATGAAAAAAAAAGTGGTATCAATAGGTGAATTACCAATTTTGGACAGAATCTTAAAGTTCTTGGCTCCTTTGCCTTCCCAAAGAATACATTGGAGCTCTTTGGAAAGTTAAAGAAGTTACTTATTTAAACATGATACTAACTCGCTTGTCATTGTGGTGAAAAAGGAATCGATTTTTGTAGGATGGTTATACTCTGAGTTTGTATCTGTTAATCTCCAAATGAGTCATCAACCAGCTCCATGACATACAAATACGACAGTATACAAATGGTAAAATGTAACTTTCAGCTGCACATGGAAATACTTGTAGGAAGTGAAAAAAATCTGTGGTAATATTTCATTAAGAGAGAGTGCTTTTTTGGTCCCAGAAGAATTACTTTCTTCTGTTATTACCTGTTTTCATTTCTTGCATTTTTATTTTGTCTTTTTTTTTAGAATTGTAAAAAAGCATTGAAAATTGCAGAACTTTTAAAATCAATAGTGCCTGTTACGTACCTGGAAACTTGCATTTGTTTGCAATATCTACAATCTGTGAGTGAAGATTTTCGTATGCTTTGGCATCACATTTACCTACATGCTGCAATAAAAAAACAAAACCAGTTCCTTATTATTTAGAAATAATGAACAATCTCACATCCTAATACCTTCCTGCTAACAGAATAAGTCAAGCATACTGCTAATAATTCCTTCCTTCAATATACTAGAAGCAAAAAGTCTGAGAGTCTGCAAAGCCAATGATCAGGGTTCAAAAGGACCACTCAGAGAAAATAAAATCATAAAAGAGTTCATTATAGAAGAAAATGAGGAGGTTTACAAGCCAGAATCCTATTCTATTGAATTTCTGGAATTTTTGTCTCAAACAGTAAAGACCAAAAAAGATTATGCAATTAACAAATCAAACATTACTGAGTTCCTTGTATTTACTCAGGTGTTCTAGATGACTTGCTTAAAATTGCCTTGATATCATAGGGCTGGAAGCAAGCAGATGTTAATCCTGTTCTTTTTTTTTTTTTTAAAAGGTTATAGACCCATAAAACTGATACCTGTACCATTCAAGTGGTTAGAAATAATAAGGAAAGAACTAGATGGTGTGAATACATCAAGGAGAGGCCAGGGTTTTTGTTGGAAACAGAAGTTGTATTTTGCAGGTTTGTCAAAGTTCTTTACCCAGTTTTGTTGATGCTTTTAAAGAGATCTCTTGATAAAATATATGTGGATTTTCAAAAAGGCTTCATGAAGTCCCTTATCAAAGACTCTAAAGGAAACTAATCAACTATTGAATAAGAAGGAAGACTCTTACAATTTAGGATCAAGATCTTAGTGGTATGAGAGATACTTGAAAATGTCATCCACAAAAAAAATCTGCTTAATAGAGATTTGAGGGGGAGAAAAAGAAATGTTAAGGCTTATTATCCAGGTTAGAGAGTGACATTATACCCCACTATAGCTCTGTGGTGCACATGCACGTTGAATACATTTGGATTCTCCCATTTCAAAATGAATAGTACAGAGCTGAATAAAGGTATAGAACAACTTCCTCATAATTTGGTCCTTCAAAGGTATGGAATATTCTTGGAATATCACATTCTAATATCTGTTGATGATCTATTGGCAAGGCTGCTTAACACTTTTGGGGATAAGTGATAAAGATCCAGTCCCGCAAACCCTGTGTGATCAAAGCAGTATGTGAATGAGGTAGCACTCCTGCAGTATGGGAGGTGGACAGAAGTCATTACCTCTAGGTGGCAGGTTGGGAAACTCAGACTCAAGCAGATTAAGTAACTTCCTTAAGGTTTAAGGGCAAGTGTAGGTAATGAAGAAATTTGCTTCAGCTAGTCTGATTCTCATGCTCCTGTTATTTAGCACAGTGTTGTGACTCTTTCCTTTTTTGATCAATGCTTCTGAAACATTCTTGAGATATCCAAGGAGTAATTTTCAAACAGGAGACGCTGTTGAGTGTAACGCTCAACAGTGTACCTCTGCTGAAACAGATGAGTCAGGACTCCTGTGGTTCTTCCCCTCCCAGTTACCACCACTGCTTGTTACGATGCTGCATTCCAGCCCCCCACCTTGCATTTACAGAAGCATTGTCTGACCCCATGATGAGCTGGTTCAGGGAGGCTGGTTGAGAGACCAACCTTCTATTTTTGGTACAGTTAATTCTGTTCCAGGTCAGAGAAGCAAAGGGAGTACCTGTTTTTGCAACACTGTTTAGCTAGGGTATGTATATAGTTTGTTAACAAATTTCTTTTGAAGCTCTTTCATTTGGGCTGTGGCAGAGGTTAAGTAATAATTCAGCTACATACTTTTCTTAGAAAATATGTCTTAAGCTGGAAAAACATTGGTAATTCTAATTATGTCTTTTTGGATTGTACCCGAGTAACTCCTTGAATATCTGGATAGGAACTTCTCAAGGGATTTATTATTGGGGTGCGACTCTTTAGATTCTGTAGAGGAATCTGTAAACATTTCAGTGGTTGTCTTAGTTGCTGATTCAGGAGAAGGCATGGATGCTCTAGTTGCATAGACAGTTATCTATAAGTCTGCCTTTACAAAACTATAAATACTTGCTTGAATCAGATCTCAGTGATTATTTGTTAAAATGATATTTTCTTGATAAACAGATTTTGAGGATTACTTACGCCTCTAGAAGTGTGTTTGCACTCAGGAGTTAAATCTTGAAATTCGTCTTTGGAGCAATTAGTCTCCTCAATTTCATATTTAATGATGTAATTCCATCCAGCTACTACCTGGAACAGGTATTTGAGATGCATTGTGTAAAACAATAAAAACTTGGTAGTTAAACTATTAAACATAATTAGAAAAGAAAGTAAAACTACTCTTATGGTGCCTTCCATCCATCAAATCACTGTGCAGTCACTGAGCTGTGGAGTATACATGAGCAGCAAAAAAAATCTTGTCCTTGTGATACAAAAAGTAAACTATGTCATACATAGATTAGAAGTGCACTTTGTATTTGGATTCCACTTCCACCTCATAACGCGTGGCTTCTTGCACTTTCCTCCAAAGTATCTGTTACCTATTATTCCCGGTGACAGGAAGCTGGTCTAGATAGATGACTATGCTAATACAGCTTGGCAAGTCCTACATTCCTGAGCACGGAACAAAGTAAAACAGTATCTGAATAATGTTACTTTATACTGCTGGCATCATTTGTTATTGAGTGTCCTGCATTTATCATCCACCTGTAGCTGTGTCTGCCTTGGGCTTTACCTTCCCTTGCTGGCTGTTTTTTCCAGATTTGTGACTTTTTTTGTTTTCTCTCCAGGAAGCAGTTCAGTTTTCCTCACTGTGGCTATTCCTTCTCACCCATGAAATCTCTCCATGTCACAGTGTTGGGTCAGGTAGCATTGGATTAAAAAGGGGAAATAATAATCAAATATATGAAATTGCCATCCAATATCAGCTTAAGTGGAGGGCTCTCACTAGTCTATTTTAGCCATAAGTGGCATGATGGCTCTATTTCCAGCTGCTGGATTGCAGTCTGTCTGTGACATTTTATCATGTGGCTTAAATGTTGTGCAAGCTTGTCTTTTAGCTAAGAGGATCATTTGCATCAGTAGAAAGACAGAGTACAGTCTGAATTAAATCATGGGTCAAATTGGCATGAGACCAGAAGATGCTTTTTGGCTAAGTAAATACTTACATGTTCAAATAAAAGGGTCTGTATTTGGCATCAGGTTATATACTAGTTAAAAACCAAATAAGAAAATTGACTTTCTAGCAATGTCACACCAATCCATAGGAGAGCCTTTCACAGGGAAATAATTGTTGCATGGAATACCAGATGGCATGGAATTTCTGCAACCTGAGCAGTCCTTTCTTGCAAAGCAGATACTCCTGTGTGCAGCTATCTTTCAACAAGTGACATGCTGGCTTTTTGTTTTTACCCATTTTTCCTGTATGGGATTTACCCATCCTATAGTGTATAGCGGGTGCTGACATATGGGTCCTGTTGCATTGCAAAAACATAGATGCCTGCTGCTGTTTGAGAGGCTGTAGAGTATGAGACATCTGTGCAGGCTGGCAGTTTTGGCACAGAACCTAGGAGAGATCTGCTCCTGCTGGAGCTTCAGGGAGAGGCCAAGTGGAATACCCGAGAGCATCTGAGATGACACAAGATGTCTGTGTCAGCACTGAATGCAAATAAACTGGTGCTAAACACTGGTTAGATGTGACTGCAGGTAAAGAAAAAATGTGTTTACTGTCAGTTTGTAAAGTTGACAGCTCTGAAAATCCAGTAGGTAACTGTTTGATTCATTATAAATTAAGAGAATTATTTACAGGGTCTATACTCTATATGCATTTCATATGCTTTTATTTTGAAATATAAGCCACCTTAAAATCGGAAAAGTGATTTAAACAACCAAGGTACCTGGTTTGGGGATTTTTGGTAAAATTTAAAGAAAAATGAAACACAAACCTGTCTTTTAGCTTCTTTTATTGCCCGAAGCTTAAAAAGGGCGGGTTGAGCACTCTGCCTGTTAAACTTTTGAATGGCTTGTTTCAGAATTTCTGACACTTCTGAACTGTCACTTGGTATAGGGTGGAAGCATCCAACACAGGTACCCTTAGTAAGTGTTATCTTTGGGACAGCTGGGAAAGAAACAAACAAAAAAAATAAGGGTTCATGTAAAACAGCCTCAGGTTTTAATTTTTCCTATCTGGGAAAGAGAGAAAAGCCTTAATAAGCAAGAACCTTTACTACTTTTAATTGGAGTGATCAGCCAAACCCACATTTCTGTTTCAGAGCCTGCAAAGACATTCATTGTGTTTAGAAACATGTTTTGGTTTATGGTGGTAGGGGGGCCCATGACATTTGGATCCAGACATTGTTTCAGCAGCAAACTTCATTCAGAGGAGCGAGTTCAGGAATCACTGAATCTCTCTGGAAAAACTTTCATGTCATTTTGATCCCCTCAGTCAGGGAAGGACCAGTGGAGGCTACAACTAAGGAGGTGTTCTTCACATTGTTCAAAGCTCACCCACAGTGTGCAGCTGCATACCATCCTTGCCATGTTTCAGGATGGGGACTTGGACAGGAGTGTTTTGGCTCACCATGTGAAGTGGTCTACTCTGAGCTCCTTAGGGACTGTAGTTGAACTATCCTGCTGCTGTGGTGTTTGGATTCCCCCTGCTAGTCACTTTGGCTGCCAGTTGCCACTTGGTGTGGATAGACAAGCTTGATGGGGATGCTCAAACTTCTGTTTCCTGCTACTAATCCTATTAACTCTCTTTCCTTTCTAGTAATCATGGCTTGGATTTTCATAAATTAATTTTATAGTTCAGTACATAAATTAATTTCATGATTCAGTGAACTTGAGAATGAAAGTGGGACAATATGTGGTCTCTGTGGAATTGAAGTAAAATTTGTGTGCCTGAACCTCAGCTGGCATAAACTAGCTTTAATGGAGTTATGCCAGCTTGCCCCAGCCAGGAAACCAGTCCAGGGTCAGTATGATCAAACAGTTCGACCAAGAAGGCTGAAGAGTATGGAACCTAACATGGTGGGGAAACCCCTCACCAGTTAGGGTCTATTGTTTTACTCTTTCTCTTTGAATCCTTTGGATTTGATTCAATCCTCTGTACGTTTGGAATATCTTGGTGTAAGGAATACTGTTTAGTCTTAGCTCTCCAAAGGGTACTTGAACAAAGTCTGGCCCTTTGTATTTCTAGTATCACTTACTTTGACTCAGTAATGACAAATACATACAAGTTACAGAAAAATGTGACTGTGTTTTCAGGGAGTAATCACAAAGGAGATAAAATAACAGTATACCCAGTTCTAAAGCAACTATGGTCTCAGCGTTTTCGTAAGTGCTGAACAAGTGCATATTCTTTTTTCAGAGTTGCTGTAACTTGGTAACAAGAGATGACCTTCTTAGGCTGAATACATGATTAATTTAATTTATGTATGGTTCTTTTAGCTTTCTAAGCAAAGATTCAAATGCAAATTTCCCATGTATTCTCTCTGGGATTCACACACCTTTTACTGGCAGCTAGATGTCACCATTGCCCTACAAATGCCTCTAAACCAGGCGTTGTTTATTCAGTAGCAGAAGAGGGAGTTTGTGTGTACTGCAGTTCCTAGAAGGAGACTGGCTGTAGGTATGGCCACTTAAGCTTTACACAAGATAACTAGGAACAAAAAACCCCCAAAGATAAGCTGCCAAACAACTCAGAACCCATGGTAAATATTTCTGCAGTTAATACGCATTTAGCTCCCTGCTACCAGTTAGATGGATATTTCAAACCTAGCTTACATGAACACTAGGAGTGAAACAGATATCTCAGTTGTAAAGCTTTAAAACAATGCGATCTTTCTCATCAAAGACATTTCTATGTGAACATAATAGTCATAAATGAATGTCTTCTAGGCAAGAAATGTAGTACTGCTTACTGTTAAGGGCTAAAAGGTTTCAGAGTCTCATGTAATTTCATCAGTACTCAATTTTTTATTTTGTAAATTAATTTTTTTGTTGGGTTTTTTTTTTTGGGTAAATATTTGTTCTGGTAGACTTTAACAGAAATAATTTAGTCATTTTTGGTTTGGACCCAATTAAATTTTTTCTAATAATTTCTGGCACAATTTTTACTCTTGAATAAGTAAGGATATAAAATTAAGTGTGATAAATTGTATCTAGTCTCTAAGTTACTGATGTGCTTTTGGTCTTAAGTAAATTAATTTTAATTTGGCATACTTACAGTGTTTGAAGAAACTTACTACACATGCATGTGCTGGTTCTCATTACCCTAGATAGAAACTGACAGTTCTTCACTGACTTAGCCTATATGTGTATAATAGTGAAATGAAATTTTATCTTTAACATGTAGTTGCTTATGGAAGATTATTTATAAATGCCTGAGTAGAGTGACAAGGAGCTCCTACCTCTAAAATTACTGGAAAGTCTTGTTATATTTTCCCCATTCTTATTTGTCAGCATACCTGCTGAATGCTGTCCCAAACAGTTACATACCTGGAAAAATTTTGCAGTCTTGCAAAACAAGTAATGCTTTTTCAGTGTTATTCATGTGAACTTGAGCTGTGCATTCTCCTATTTTCTGCAAAAACACGACAACATTTGTCTTAAACTTGCTGAAGAAAAATAGTGCTGTATATTACTCTAGCTATTGAAGAAAGTTGACAGTTGCAAATTGAGCTTAGGGAAGAAGTTCATATGTACATTTGTAGTAATGTCTAATTTCCTGGTTTGTTACTGGAAAAGGAATGGTTTTGTTGATTGTGAGGAGTGTAGGGGATGAACTGAGCAGATAATTTGAAAGATTGCTTTGTATAATGATTGGTGCTTATTAAGTAAAGCATTTACAGTCAGAACAACGGAAATAAACACATCCTCATAAAGCCTGTATAAACTGTGTATTTACCTAATTTCCTTTCTGCTAGTACAAGATATGCAGCAATGACCATGGCATTTCACACTGATACAAATTATATTATCACCATCATCCCTTTCTTTGCATTGTGTTTTGTGTGAAATAACGGTGACTTCCACTGGAAATGTGCAGTGTTCCTGCACGCTACGTGTGTCCCAATTGTACCCCCCGCTAGGTGCTCTCTAGTAGCATGAGCCAGGCGTGCTTTGCACTGCTAAAAGCCCTCTGGTAAATTTTCTGTTTAGTGGCTTCCATGTCAGTATTTTTGTTGGTGCAGATCTGAAGTCAATTGGGTTGTGCAAGTTTCCATTATACGTAATTAACAGAAAGTTTTACAGCCCTCACAGAGCATGTATCTTATGCTGAATTTATCATGAACCTTCACACTGAAGCATTGGAATGTTCCCTTCTGCACATATTCAGGATTATAATAATAAACTCACTGTTATAATGGTTAACTTCAAAGTTCTAAACATTTCTGTACTGTAGTCCTATAAGCTCTCAAAAGCAACACAGCTAAAAAAGTTAAATTCTCTACTGTATTTTTTCCCAGGTGAATAAGGTCCTAGTCATTATGCTGATGTTTCTGTGCGGAGAGCTTCTAAAGAGGACAGATACTTACAGCCTCTGCAAGTGGTTTGTAATCACAGTCTTGCCAGACTTTGTCTTCCTCAGTGGTACAAGTGGTTTCTTGTATTCGATATTTCACATGGAATTGTGTGTCAGGACCTGCCTGGATAAAAGCAATATGCATGTTGTCATTTGCATAGTAATAAATCAAATTAAAAGATAAGAGCTTCAAAAAGGTAAATAATATCATTGGTTACCTTATATTTTATAGCATGGTTTCAGATTAGCTGCTGGTCTCCAAGCAAGGTCTCCCAAATCTAGGTAGCTCAATAATTAACTTATCTAATTATCTTACTGAGCCCTTACCTGCAATTACAATATGTTGATACAATAGATATGGTATGCTCAGCTACCTTCATTTTAACTTGTAGTACCAAGGGCTTTAAAACCAGAAAGAAGTGGTTAGGTTTTATACTCCTATCCAAATAAACAAATTCGGGTTGCTGCTTGGATAGTTAGCATAATTACCAGCTTGGACTGTGCTCCTGTCTGACTCCCTCACTCTCACTCTTGGCCTCCTCCCAGATCTGTCTACTTTCCTTCTGTACAACTCTACGGGCAGCCCAGAAACAGCAGCCAGCAACCCTCAGGCAGCCTGGCAGTGCCCAAACTGCCTTTGCTCTATGGTAACAGGGTACAAAAGCTGCCCTGCCTACTGGGGGGAAAGGGGCGAGGAGGGCATATGCTCTGGAGACAGCCTTTGGCAGTGCCTGCAGCTTTCCTCTGGGCACTAAAGGCTGAGCTGCTTGTGAGGGTAGCCTCAGACATCCTGTAAGATGAAATACAGACAAAGTACTAAGCAAAGTTTGGCCTGGCCAGTGGAAATGTTTCTGATGTTGGTAAATCAGTAGGGGGCATTTTCTCCTTGCCATAAAGTGAGTAGTGAGCCTGTGCCTACAAGTAACGTTAACACACTGCAAGGTTTGTGGCACATTCTTTAGAAGAGATATGAAGCCAGAAGTTAGTCTTTTACGGCCACTAAAAATGCTCTGCTAACGTGCCTTTTCAAATACAAACACAGGCAGTTGCTGTACTTTAACACTGGTTATCCTCAAATGATACTGCTGGGAGAATTAAATGATAATTCTCGCCTTAGTGGTACCAAGAAAGTGAAGCTGAGCTGATGTGGGTGGAATATACTGGATTTACGCTGGTGTAGACACAGAATTATATTCTATGTTCTCTCAATTCCTGTTGTGTATTGCTACAACTATGAAGAGGTGTAGAGGTACCAGATATAATGGTTGCAGGTTGTAAAACAGGATGAAAGGGTCTCTAAAAATATAATGGAGTTAATCCTCAGCAGGTATAAATTGACATTTGTGGAGCTGCATCAGATTATACTATCTGGGATGTGGACCTAAAAAGAGCCAAGTTCTAGTCTCTGTTCCAGTGTTCTGAATCTGCAATAAATCAGCTCAGTGAGTAAACGAAACAAGTGAGAAAAGACATTGTTTCTGTATGGTTTTTTTTGTTGGTTTATTTAATTATTATTATGAACAGCTATGCCTTTAACTGGAGCAGGTTCAGGCTTTCACCAGTCAGCTTTTATGTTTTATTACCTTATCAATAATGAATGTACATGAATATGTAATAACCAGCTATTTAATGCATTCAACGTTGTGAGACTAGCGATGAGTAAAATCTATATGCTTTTTAGAAAAAGAATATCTAATATGAAGAACTCTCTATTGCAGATTCATTTTGTTTTTTACTTAACATCATAGTCAGATCAATGATTAAAAGTAATAATTGATTTCTACCTCAGACCTTTTAAGAAAAACAAAGATGGATATCTACTGAAGGAAAGGTGAATAATAATTGTGATAAATATGTATTCTTAAAAATAGAACATTGTTTATGATTAAATACTGAAACCGATATCTGTCCTTTGGGAACATCAAAAGGATGGTGGTGTTACAGACGTGATAGAGATGTTTGTGTTTGGCTATTGTTAAGGATGTGTGTAGTTCAGTGAAGACAGTGGGACTATTAATTTGTTTAATATTAATTGTTTAAAGGATTTGCCAGATTTTAGTCTTTGTCACTACATGTTACAGTCTCCCGTTTGAAAACAAGAAAGCCAGAGGGTAGCTGCCAGGAGATGTGGGTAGTTTACTGTAAGGCGTTTAGCAATTCATATCCTCTTTCTGAAGTCAGTTTCTATCTGGGTAAAAGCATCTTGTGATTTTGGAGTTCAAAATATTCCCTCTGACACTGGGTTTTTTGTGTTTTACATCTGAAAATCCGATCCAGTAGGAAAAAATGCTAATGTTGTTTTCAAGTAAAGTAATGCTTGTCATTATTATGGTAATATCATCTTTGAATGCCTCTCAGAGGTAAATACTCTTTTGTTAGATTAATGCTATACAGAAGGACTCCAGGCAAAGGATCATGTTTCATTCTTTTTTTCTTCTGTAATTTTAGCTGTCACCGTATTTGACTAAAATACTACCTAGTGCTTTTAGATAGATCTGTGACTCAGGACTAGTGTCAATCAAATAATATTCACAAACAATTTATTCAGAGTATTGCCAAATTTTATCAGGTCATTCTTTATGTGTGATACTAGCTCTTCCCAAGTCAAGATAATATTCAGTTTTTTTAGTGTGTTTTTTGCTATTGATCTGAAAACCTTACTGATGATGGAAAGGGGTAGAATTCCCAACAGAGAAAGGAGAAAACAGTGGACTAGAAAGATGAATTGTGTTAGTGATAGAAATTTTCTACTCTTTAGTCCTTGCATTAATAAGCAATTCACCAGCAGACATAATTCTGTTGATAAGAACATAATATACATCCCTGCTTGTCATGGTAACAAGTATCTTACTGTGCAAGTAATTAGTTTGATTTTTAAAACATTTTTGGAAGACATTTTGTTGTCATGCTTGCTCTCTTACAAATGAGATGGAGAGAATCTGATTCAGAGTGCATAAACAATTCCAACATTATCTTTTTTTTTTTACAAAGTCTACTTACAGTTCTCTTTGCTTCCATCACCACATATAGAGCAAATTGATTACCAGTTGCTCCGTCTCCATTGTATTTCTTCAGTGCTGCGTCGACAGCTTTAAAGACATCAGGGTCATCACAGTCCGAAAACTCAAATGGAAGAGGGATGGCTCTGCTAGAGAAAAAACTACAGCAGAGTGCTAGTACAATAAAGGGTTTCATAACTGGACAAAAAAGGCCTCCTGAATTAGAAGGCTCTTTAAAAGCCAAATGGAAAAAGAATGCCTGACAGGATTTTAGTCACCTCTTCTGTTTTTCAGGAGCAATAGCTAAGTAAATAGAATGAGTGGGTTTCTGAGATTGATTGGTTCTCATAATACCCTGTTTATACTGCAAATAAACTTCTGAGTTTATCTAAATAAACTTTGTGTGGTCACCAGAATGACACTAAGGTTATCCACCTGCCATCAAGATAACAGGCTAAATGGCTGCAGCTGGGGACAAGTTTAGGCTAAGCAGGATGGCCCCTGAGCAAAAGAGAAAGAATGTTTGTGGCTTTCTGGCTTTTCTTAACATCTAAGCTGCTACTGAGAATGAATTTTAGAAGGCTTAAATAAAACACCCAAGAAGGTCACAGTGGCAATGAAGTTCTGGTTCTGGACAGCAGCCCTGTAAATTTTATAGATCTGTTTAGTGTTCCGACTGCAACAGTTCTGGGAAGTCAGAACATGTTTGAAAAAAGTCTTTGGACAGATGCGTATCACTGAATGCCGCAGCACCTTGCCCTTTATGCTACTATTGTAGGTGTCCATCTTTGCCACCATGTGGAGACTGCCTTTGGTCCAGTCAGCGTTCATGATGTTATCACTACAGATATGGAAAAGTAATGCCCAAGAACAAGGGATTAAGTAATGTTGCCTGTGTCTGGCAGAGCCAGAATTAGAGCTGGCTGGGAACATCTGGTGCTTGTCTACAGTGTTGAGCACCAAATAGCTTTGTTTTGAGTCTGTGAACACCTTGAGATTGCCTCTGTTCCAGTGTTCCAGTTGTCTTGCTACAAGTTTTGGTTAAAGAAAATGCACTTTAGAGACTTTGTGGATAAAGTAGGCCAGAAAGAAGGTTGCTCATACATGATAACACACTTTTAAAAATTAGACAACCTTCACTTGGTTACACAAAATGCTGTCCCCGTTTTTTTCTTTTTCTTCAATGTAGCCCTCACTGTATTTTACTTTATGCCATTAAGAAGCTACTTTGACCAAATTACTAATTTTTTGAGCTTAATCCCATATTCTTGCTTACAGCTGTTCTGAACTAACTCATTGGGGTCCCATGTCTGTCTGAATGGACTTTACCTTGATGG